CACATGTTGAAAATACTCAGGCGTCAACATCACAAAACGCAGTACAGTCTTTCTCAACCCACACCCAATCAAGCAAACCCATACCCATAGATGACAGAACAAAGTTATTAGGAACTGCAGTTCTGAATGTTGAAGTTCAAGGTGAATTATTTCCAGCTAGAGCGCTTATTGACCCAGCTTCAGACTTCTCGTTTATCACAGATAAACTGAGAAGGAAGCTAAAATTACCCACTACACCCATAGTTGCTGAAATTTCAGGATTAAACGAAATAGTTTCAGCTCGTTCAAATAAACTGTGTCAAGTTTTATTGCGCTCAAACACCCAAAACGATTTTAAATTGAATATCCAAGCTATTGTTGTAAAAACATTAACCAAAAACTTACCCACCCAAAACTTAAACCCCACCCTAATACAAGACTTGGAAAATATTCAATTAGCTGACCAAAGGTTCTATGAAAGCCGACCTATCGACTTTATTATTGGCAGCGATTTTTACCCACAGATTCTAAAATCTGGAGTCAGAAAAGACTTACTTAATACCCTTATAGCTCAGGAAACTGAGTTTGGCTGGATTTTAACAGGACCCGTTCAGAATTCGCAAAATACCCAACCCTTAGTTTCTTACTTCAGTTCAGTCACGCTTGATAAAGTTTTGACCAAGTTCTGGGAAATTGAAGATGTACCCACCCAACCAAAAGTTTCAGAAGAAAGTTCTTTATGTGAAGAAACTTTCAAGAACACTACCCTTCGATTACCAAATGGCCATTATCAGGTAAATTTACCATTTATATACCCTCCTGTTGAGTAGGAAACTCTAGACACGTTGCTATGGCTCAATTTTTACGTAACGAGAAAAGTTTAATGAAAAAGCCAGAGCTTAAAATGGAATATGATAACGTGCTACAAGAGTATATCGATTTAGGCCATATTAAACCAATTAAATATAAACCAAACACTCCTTCAAACACCCATTATTATTTACCCCATCACGCTGTTGTTAAACTTGATCGTGTTACGACAAAAGTTCGAGTTGTATTTAATGCATCTAGCAAAACCTCGAACAGCAACAGTCTTAATGATACCCTATACACTGGTCCTACCCTACAACAAGATTTAGTTGTACTTATCTTGAAATGGCGCTTTTACAAGATAGTTTATAATGCCGACATTACAAAAATGTACCGGCAAATTATGCTAAATCCTACCCACACACCCTTCCAACGAATATTATTCCGTAAAAGCGTCAACGAACCCATTCAAGATTATGAACTGCAAACAATTACATTTGGTGTTAACTGTGCGCCATATTTGGCTATTAGAACCCTGCACAAATTAGCCGATGACATTCAAAATACCCACCCTATAGCTTCGCAAATATTGCGAAACAACATGTATGTTGATGATGTCTTAGCCGGAGGTCACACAATTGAAGAAGCTCAAAAAGCTCAAACCCAATTGATCTCGGCTCTAGACTCTGCTGGTTTTCCTTTAAGAAAGTGGATTTCCAATACAAAGGAATTATTACACAAATTACCCGAAGAACATCTACTCGATGTTGATTTACTTACCCTACCCGAATCAAATAATGCTAAAACGTTAGGCATTCGTTGGAATGCTAAAGAAGATACGTTTTTCTTTAATGTACCCTTAATTGAAAGAAAATCAGCATACACAAAGCGAACTGTGTTATCAGACATTGCTCGTCTTTTTGACCCAGCTGGTTGGTTAGTGCCAATTGTTATATCTGCCAAGATTATTATGCAGCAAATTTGGGAAGATAATACAGCTTGGGATGAATGTCTTAACCCACTCACCCTTATAAAATGGCAAAAGTTTTTGCAGTTCTACGATAATATTAATAGAATTCGTATTCCAAGATGGATTAACTTTTCACCTTCAGCAAAAATTGAGTTTCATGGTTTTTCAGATGCTTCTGAAAAGGCATACTCTGCGTGTCTATATGCACGAGTAACACCCATAGACGGACCTAATTCCGTAACCCTACTCTTCGCTAAGACGAGAGTTGCGCCAATCAAAGTAATCTCGTTACCAAAACTTGAACTTTGTGGTGCAGTGTTGTTGGCAAATATGACACACAATGTACTCACCCAACTCAACCTACCCTTACATCAGACGTATTTCTGGACCGACTCATCTATAGTTTTGGCCTGGCTTAGTAAACACCCTAACTCGTGGAATACATTTGTGGCAAACAGAGTTACAACAATTCTACAAACAGTAGGAGTAGATAACTGGAATCATGTTGCTTCACACGATAATCCTGCCGATGTTGCTAGCCGAGGATGTAATGCTGATGAGTTAAAAGATGACACTTTATGGTGGAATGGACCATCGTGGTTGAAAGAAGTCGCGTCGAAGTGGCCAACAACAAATAAACACTTTATTACTCAAGCTGAAGCTAAAGTTAGTCAGTCGTTTACTACGACAGTTAGTACCCACCCTACCTTAGATACGAATACTGAAAACCCAGATATATTATCAAGATTTTCGAAATTGTCAAAAGCTCTAAGAGTAATGACATATGTCTATCGATTTTGTGATCGCGCATCATATACCCGAAGAAATACAATTCGAAATGATAGAGTTATTCTTGATCGAAATAACCCACAACTAGTCAATGATAGACTACGTTTATTAACTACCCACCCAAGTATTGAACTTGATGCGTCAGAGATCAAATCTACCCGTGATAGACTTATTATTTTTTGTCAGACAGAATATTTCAACAACGAATATAACTGTTTGAAGAGAAAATACCCTGTACCCAACAAAAGTGACCTGCTTACCCTAACGCCATTTTTAGATTCTGCAAAGATAATGCGTGCAAATGGTAGACTGATTTGTCTACCCAAGCCTTTATGGCAGCCTTCGCTCGATTTTTTTCGAGGCGGGGATGCCCTGTCGCCATTTACTCTGACAATGGAACAAATTTCATAGGTGCTAGCAAGTTATTGAAAAAGGAGCGACAGGAATTTATTAAACAGCTAAAAGGATCTATTACGTCCACTAGCAGTTTTCAGAATTTGACGTGGCATTTTATACCCCCAGGTGCACCACACATGGGCGGTTTATGGGAGGCAGGAGTTAAAAGCTCATTTGAAGAAAATAAATACCCTAAAATATACATTTGAAGAGCTAGCTACACTCCTTGCCAGAATAGAAGGATGCCTAAACTCGAGACCCTTAAGCCCGTCAAGTGAAAACCCTCAGGATCTTAACCCTTTAACCCCTGGACACTTTTTAATTTGCTCACCCATACTTACCCCTGCAGAACCCGTCACAAGCAGTGATAATATAACCCTGGCTAACAGATGGCAAAAATTAAAGATACAACATCACAACTTTTGTAAAAGATGGAAAGATGAATATCTTAAAGAGCTCCATAAAAGATATAAGTGGAAAAACCCTACCCGAGAAGGTGATATTGTAGTAATTAGACAAGACAATTTAGCACCCAATGAATGGTTACTTGGACGTGTGACTAAAACATACCCTGGTTCTGATGGTAGAAGTAGAGTAGTTGATTTACAAACTTCAACTGGAACTCTAACACGCTAATTAGTATAATACTTTTACTCAAACCCTAACCCAAAATAACAATATCATCACTAACTAGCTCAACTAACCACCCTAACTAACCCAAATTTATTATGAATCGTTTAACCCTTCACCCTAACTCACTAACACATTCATTACACTTCATTCATTCACACATAATTTCTTTTATACAGAATATGGCACCCAACAACAACAACAATCGTAAAGGACGTTCCAACCGTTCCAGCCGCAATGGATCTCGGCCCAAACCCAACCGCAAAAACGATAAACGTCAACCAAAACGCCATTTTGGTTGCGGTATTTGTCAAGCCGATCACAGCTTAACAAATTGTCGAAAGTTCCAAAAGATGAACTTGGCGGAGAAATACAAAACCGCAGTTAAATTGCACTACTCCGTCAATTGTTTGGCGAGGAACCATCTCATTGGCGGTTGCACGAGTAAGGCTCGTTGCCAACAATGTGGTGGTAAACACCACTCAATATTGCATGGTCCTAACAGGATTTTAAAGAATCTAACGAAAGATCGTTCGCCACCACCAACCCCAGCCCCAAGAACTCAACCCATACCAGCTCCACGTCATTCCCTTGCAACTACAACCAAAACAACACCAATAACCACATCCATGACGAAAACCTTCGTTCCCACTGTGGTTGTCCAGATGATTATGGAAAGCGGAAACCGGATAGCAAGAGCCATATTAAACCCCAGCCTGACAAAGTCCCGAATTGCATCCGTGTTAGTACGAGACACTAGTTTAAAATCTTTCAAAATAGACAACGAGGTTTTCGTCAAGGTGCTAATTGGTCCAAATCTAACATCAAACGTTAGATATGAAGTCTGTATGGAGGTTGTGAAGGATTTGCCGAAAACTCCGTACCCAAATGCCATGGACGAGGGTATTGCAAATAAGGTCTGTCGAATATCTTTAGCCGACCCTGGATTTTATTCAAATAAACCGGTCTCAATGGAGATTGGTGGAGACCTTTATACCACAATCCTGCAACCCAATGTGATCCACATCGATGGAGGATCTCTAATTGCACAGGACTCCACCCTTGGCTGGCTGGTCATGGGATCCTCTACCCAATAAACCCACACACAGAATGAAGTATTTTACATGCATAGTTTACCCTACCACCCTACACCCTTTTTTATTGAATAAATAAAAATAATTGTCCTTTTCTCTTCACAGGTTGCCAGGCCCGGGAGGATGTTCATACTAGTGAACAATGGAGCATTCCCATCTCTGCTGCCATTTAATACCCACACCTAACTGCAGCCAACTTCATTGCTGCATAAATGTCAACTGCAGCTCTTACCCTTTTTCTCTTACTTTGACTTCTAATCAACCTGGCTTACTACCAACAAGTGTGTGCGCTTTACAAAACAAGTTTTCTTTCTATCCTTAAAAATCTAAACTTATAACTGAAGGTTAATAAATAAGTGATTTATTTAAAATTAGTGTTAAAACCTTAAAGCTAATTAAAATCTATAAAATCCTTAAATCTAAAAACATTTAAAACTTAGATTTAAAATCTAATAAACTAATAAATAAAAAACAATATAAAAACAAATAGTTAAAATAATTAAATATTAAGATCATTTATTCTAAAATAAATAAATAAATACTTTATCTTAAAACCTAAAACTAATATAAAATACTTACCCTAAAATAAATAGATAAATACGTAAATCTAACTTACCCTAAGAATAAATATCGAACAGAATTTATAACCTAAAAAGTGTATTATATACTTACCCTATATACTTACGTTATATACATATATTGAAGTTTAATAAACACATAAGTTTATAACGTTTTCTAAAAAAATTCCCAAGCCTTGCTTATTTACCCTTCCTCTAATTCCCTCGTAAGTACCCATCTACCCATCTCCCTCTAACCCCTAAATAAACAAGTACAAACACCAATCGCAGGGGACAAGCCCTCATGGATTTCCTTAATACTAAAGACTTGATAACATTGAACTTATGTAATAAAGCTACCTTCGTCAATAGAATTAGAGAAGAAGTATTAGATATAACTATATGTTCAGAAGAGCTTATAAACGAAATTCAGGATTGGAGAGTTTCGGACGAGCACTCCTTTTCTGACCATCGGTACATAAGATTCAAAATACTAAGGCCACCACCAAAGCCGATAAAGTTTCGGAATAAGTCTAAAACTAATTGGACAATGTTCGGGACCTTACTAAAGAACCGTTTAGGTCAGGACACTTTTCAATGTCGAAATAAAGAGGATATAGATGCCAAAGTGGAAACGTTCACAAGTGCCCTGGTTGAATCGTTCGAGGACAGCTGCCCTCTGCGAGAGCGGAGATCTGTCCAGGAGAAACAATGGGTAACTGGGGAGATCGGGAACCTTGGGAAGACTCTTCGCAAACTATTTAACCAGGCACGGCGTAAAAAGACCGCAGTATACTGGGATGAGTATCGTAATAAACTTGGTGAATATAAGAAAATCGTTCGAAAAGCCAAACGAGACTCATGGAAACTTTTCTGTGAACAGGTAGATAGCGTAAATGACGTATCGAAGATAAAAAATTCCTATCCAAAACTCATGTCCAACCGGAATCTATGATCGATGACACGGGCAGGAGGCTGGAGGATATGGAGGAGACAATAAAACTCCTAATGGACTCTCATTTCCCACCCTTTTAAACAAAATTAATCAAGAAAAAATTGATTTATACAAAAACTAAAAATGTGGAGTAAGCAAAATTTATTAAATTTAACATACATGTATGTATCTATTTATTGTTGATGGCCTGCTGCTTTATTTGACAATTTCAAGCATGTTCGTGCAAGAGTTTTAGATTGCAATAAAGTTAACGTTTAAGTGTAAATCGATGAATATATTTTTCTTCATAATACATATGTATGTATGTCTCGGGGGAGTTTTCCCGTTTTTCCTACCGAGCGCGTCCCCGGGTGGCGGATAGGGGGTGGTGATGGACCATCTGTCCTCTCCCAGCTTTAATTTCACTTAAGCTGAGGGAGGGCAGATTGTCCACCACCTGGGAATATTATATTAACCGCGGACCAAAAAAACTGGGAAAAACAAGTATGGAAAATAAAAATAAAAAGATAAAAGTTACGGTGCAGGGCCTAAATAACCCAGTACCGGCGGCAAGTGTTGATCTACTCGCGAGTCACGTGTCGTCGTCATCCTGCAATCGTGAGCAAAATACTGCTACGGAGGTGGGTACCTTGGCCTCCGTGGCGGAAAATGAGTCAAGTGTACAGCATGCCACTGGCAAAAATATAGGGGTGAAAGAGAAGGATGTACTCGGAGTGAGCTCTAAGCTACCTCAGCCTTTAAATATAGGTGAGGGCTCCGACTCTGAATCCTCAGATGATAATAATAACACCATTATAGCAAATCCCCAAAAGGATGAAGTAGAGCAAATGGTGAAAGACGTGAGTGATAGCATAGCTAAACTACCTATTACTAAGAAAAGACTTTCTGGAGCACAGAGGAGGAAGTTGAAAAAGATGCTTCAGGAAATTATAGTTAGTCAATCCCACGACACTCCAAACGAAAAATCGGACTCTCTCACAAGATTTGAGGCAAAAAGGATCAGGTCTCCCGTCGAGTTGACAACTGAGAATAAACCTAAGAAGAAAAGAGCTCCCCGTCTTCTAATACACAGTCGAAGCCAATCCATACTTCACTCAAAGGAACCTCAAGTGAGAATCCTGCGAATAAGGGTGACAACGCCAAACCGGGGAAATCAACCTCGAAGGTAAGGGAATCTCAAAAGAAGCCCCGAAAAACGAGGAAGGAGAAGCTAGACGGAGGAAAAGGAAAAGAGCCGCCATCTTACGCCAAAGTTGCCAGATGATGACAACGGGACGATCTCTGCATTAGATTAATAGCCATGTTCAGTAATAACATTAACAATTCAAATAATAATAAAAAATTAATTTATAATAATAACGGAAAATTAAAAAAATTTAAATCCTGTACACCAGATTGGAAATAAGTATGTACATATTCAAATATCAACAGAAGATAGATATGCTAAAACTTTATTTTTATAAGTAGAGATGGAATATGAGAATAATTTAATTTCCGATGGTAATTGATTCCAAATGCGGGAAATCCTTAATTTAAATGAATGCTCAAAAATTGAAAGATGAAAACGAGGTACCTCAATTTGAATATTTCGAGTCGATCGAATAAATAAAATTTCATTTACAAGACTATTTGGCTGCCCGAATTTCATAACCTTGTAACAAGTTAGAGTGCTATATTTGGCTGAGCCGAATCTTAAATACCCTCCACCAGCTACTTTTATATTAATAATTTTTAATTGATCAAATATTTGTAGAAATAAGTTTTCTCATGTCTTAAATAGAAAAACCCCAAGATTTAAACAGCTTAAATCTGTTACAATTCCAAGATTTATTGAACATTACAAACCCCATTTTCCTTTATATTTTTATAGCGCCGTAAGATATGCTTTAACGATATTTAATAATGTGCATGTATGCATGTGTGTGAAAGATTTAAGGATTTTCAAAATACATACATATATATATAATTTTGTTCTACACAAATTGATAATGCAACTAGTTAAATACGGTTACATTGCTTTTAGGGGCAGGACCTAGTATGGGAGATATGACCAATTATAGACCGATCGTAAAAAATTCTTTAAGCAAAATTTCTGTACATAAAAGCTATATTTCAGTCAAATTTTGTATCTATATCATAATTTAGTAATAACTAATGTGTGTTCAAGTGATTTTCTGAAGGGACACTTGCATGGGACCGACCGCACCCATGTTATGGACCGATCGTGAAAAAATCTTGAAATAGAATTTTTGTATACCAAACTAATATTTGTGCCAAATTTTGTATCAATAGCTTTATTTGGTAATGAGTAATGTGCGTTTAAGAGATTTTCGTAAAAGGACCTTGTATGGGAGCTATGACCAATTATGTATATAAAGACAAAAATTCAAAATTCTGGAGGGGACCTAGTATGAGAGCTATGACCAAATATGGACCGATCATAAAACAATTTATAGTGTAATTTATGTATATAAGAGCAATATTTGTGCTAAATGTATGGATATTTTGTAATGAGTTATGTGCGTTTAAGTGATTTTCGGGAGGGGACCTTGTATTGGAGCTATGACCGATTATGGACCGATTCAGAAAATTTTTTCTCTCAATGAATTCTATTGAAAAAAATTTCACAGTAATATTTCTGTGCTTATAAGCAATACTTATAACAAATTTTATATGGATATCTTAATTTAGTAATGAGTTATGCGCGTTTAAGTGATTTTCGGGAAGGGTCTTTGTATGGGAGCTATGACCAATTATGGACCGATCGGAAAAAAACTTTCATAGTAATATTTCTGTATATGTGAGCAATACTTGTACCAAACTTTATATGGATATCTTAATTTAGTAATGAGTTATGTGCGTTTAAGTGATTTTCGGAAGAGGACCTTGTACAGGAGCTATGACCAATTATGCACCGATCGGAAAAAAATTTCACAGTAATATTTCTGTGCATATGAGCAATACTTGTACAAAATTTTATATGGATATCTTATTTTGGTAATGAGTTATGTGCGTTTAAGTGATTTTCGGGAGGGGACCTTGTATGGGAGCTATGACCAATTATGGACCGATCGGAAAAAACTTTCACAGTAATATTTCTGTGCATATGAGCAATACTTATTCCAAATTTTATATGGATATCTTAATTTAGTAATGAGTTATGCGCGTTTAAGTGATTTTCGGGAAGGGTCCTTGTATGGGAGCTATGACCAATTATGGACCGATCGGAAAAAAACTTTCATAGTAATATTTCTGTATATGTGAGCAATACTTGTACCAAACTCTATATGGATATCTTAATTTAGTAATGAGTTATGTGCGTTTAAGTGATTTTCGGAAGAGGACCTTGTACGGGAGCTATGACCAATTATGCACCGATCGGAAAAAAATTTCACAGTAATATTTCTGTGCATATGAGCAATACTTGTACAAAATTTTATATGGATATCTTATTTTGGTAATGAGTTATGTGCGTTTAAGTGATTTTCGGGAGGGGACCTTGTATGGGAGCTATGACCAATTATGGACCGATCGGAAAAAAACTTTCATAGTAATATTTCTGTATATGTGAGCAATACTTGTACCAAACTTTATATGGATATCTTAATTTAGTAATGAGTTATGTGCGTTTAAGTGATTTTCGATTCAGAAAATTTTTTCTTTCAATGAATTCTATTGACATAAGATTTTAATTTATAAAATTTTGTGATGATATCAACATTCTGACGGAAGTTATTAACATAAAACTCATTTTCCGGGAATATGTACTTTTGTATGGGAGGTATATGAAATTATGGACCGATTCTCGTAATTTTCAGCAAGAATC